CCCCCCCCCTCCCCACTCTCTTTCTCTCTCGCTCTCTCTCAGCCCATCACACACCACACACACACACACACACACGATAATACAACACTTACTCACACATTGTCTCTTGCAGCGGCCGGCCGGCAGATGTCGCTGCGGTGCGGTGGGTCGGGGGACCGGCTTCAGGTGGCGCAGAGGGTCCGTAGGGGTATGCCTCCCCCCCCCCCCCTTCCTAAATCTGCGGCCGGTCAGCTCCCGTGGGCCGTTAGTCAGCACTGCCAAAGATGGCGGGATGGTGGGGGAGGTGTGTAACTTGCTGACTGTCCCTTTCATCAATACATCGAACTATAAGTCTTTGAAACCAATCTTAGACAACCAGTGAGTAACGGTACTACCTCACCCCGCCTCGCAGCTCTACAAAAAAAAAACATGACGTAATTTGCGTACGGCCCCTTATTTGCTAAAGATGATGAAAAGAATTAAGTGAATGGGGAGCCGCGCTCGTTAGAGGGGCAGTGGTTTATCAGGGCCTGTCAGCGTCAGGAAGCTTCCCGGGCGGTTGTCATTCGCCCTGACACAGGTGCATCTGCCACGATTTATGAGTGGCAAAAAGAAGAAAAAAACACTTCGCCGTCTTACGTTTGTTGCCGTTGTATTTTAAATATGCTAATGGTGAATCATGGTGAGTCAAGTTAAGAAGAGCTCTTGGACCCGTCCCTCGTGCTCCTCTCTTGCTGGTTTTTAACCTCTTTTTTTTTCTTATTTCGCTTTTTGCATTTTAAAAATAATATAATCCTTTTATTATTCCTCTGTGTGTCGGCCGCGCTGAGCTTGTGCGCGCGGCCGGCGCAAGTCGCTCCTGGTGATCCTTTTTTAGCTGATTTGTGTCCGTCCCGCTCCGCTCATGGGCTCCCTCCTCCCCCTCCCCTTCTTCTCCCCCAGACCGTGCCGTCGGTTCAGCTGAGCGTATTATTCTGCGGACGGGGTAAAAAAAAACATGTCGAAAAAAAAGGTTTGGGCAATTCTTATCAAGCATTTGAAAAACATGTTGCAAAGATGGGTGGAAATACACTGCTGGTAAAGCAAAAGGTAGAACTGAGTGCCCTTTAAATGTGCTAAATTTTAATAACTAAAATTTACCACCTTGGAGGCATTCTGTGGTGTGAATCTTTTAGGTGCCTCTCTAAAGGCACTAAAGTCATCAACACCCCAAGAGAGGTGTTGATTCCTACCTTTGTTTTTTTCAGTGTGTGTATGTACGAAAGTCGTAGACAGGATCTCTTTTCGTGATTTTAAATGAAATCATTTCGGCATGCTACAGTTTTTTT